CTTTTGACATCTGGACTGAGCAATCTATTATGTCAGCTCCATCGTTCACTGCTTGTTGATATGCAAGATCAGTGCTGCCAGGGTAAACTCCACTAGCTCCATTATGGGTTATGATCAAAGCTTGTCCTGGAGAATAAAACATGAGGGTTATGTCTTTCTATTTGTCCTGCTTAAAATTTTTACTCCTCAACAGGAAATGCTTACCTTGTTTGCGATTCTTCGGGTTCTGTTGAGCAAAACATGCTGCACAATCAAAGAGCATTTGGAGGTCATATCAGAATCAAAGGCATATATATATATATACACACATGTTTTATATGCTCTAGCTCAGTGCCATTTAGTGAACTCAGGGGGATGACATGAGAATTAATGGCCTTACCAACAGCTTCTGATGCTGTAGGAGGGAAGTCCGTAACCAAACCATCAACAGCGAATTGGGAATTATCGATGAACTGCAAGTACTCAGCCACAGGATTATAACTATAATTATAACTCGCTTGCTTGTCATTTGCAAAACCAGATGCATACACTTCTAGTCCAAGTTTATGAGCATCTGCTACCAAAGTTGTGGCTGGTTTCAGATATCTATTCGCATCAACAGGCCATATGTATTCCTTCGGGACAAGTATCCCGGATGCAAAGACCTTGATACTTGCAAGATCCTGCAAAATTGCACTGTATTTCTTGTTGATTGTTGGCTCAGTGGCATCAAGTTCTTTGAACTCGAAGATCAGCTTCGTCCTACCTTTGTTTATCTGCCCACTGATGCTCTTCAAGAAACCAATCTCAGGTGATGAAATATAATTTATAATAACTCTATTTGCAGTTCGTAGATATGCTGCTACGCTGAGCTTGTGTTCGGCATAAAATGCATTATTCTGCAACATAGAGTAGATATATAATTGACCCATGTCACCATAACAATGCTAGTGTCGGTAGGTTTGAAATCAAGGAACGAGAGATATAGAAAGAGACCTGAACACTCAGCCAGAACTTTTTAGGTCTAACTCCTACAGCATCCTCAACACTTGAAATTGGCAATAGGCCGTCAAAGAGACTCGGTCTCGAGAAAATGTTTTGAATTACTGAGTCATACAAAATATATATAAACTCACTGAACTATTACGTAATATTAGAATGTTATCATAGAATCATCATGAGAATAGGAACAAAAACTTAACATTTAGGTCCTTTTTAGACTTACAATTTACACTGCCAAGTAACTGGTCAATTGGATAATCCAAAGCAAACCAGCCATGAACATCTTGTCCATTAACTTTGTAGGTCTTCTTGCCTTTGGGAAACACCATGGGCGCGGTGGTTGTGTTATCGAGCCTGATATCAGGCAAGCAAATTCCAAATCCGTCTTGGGTAAGTTGCAGATTGCACAACAATACCGTGTCTGACAAACTGGTGTCTAATGCCATCTGATTTGCAGGTGCGCTGGATTCAGGGAAAATCCCTGAGAATCCGCCCCGAGCTATGATCTCTGGCTGTCCTCCTACAAACCAAATTTGAACCATGTTGGTAAATTATCTTGATCAAGATCAACAAATGTTAATAGACAGAGATTTTATTGTGTTGATCATGGTAGGACTGATTTGAACAAAGAAAAATCAAAGTTAAAGAAGAGTGGAAAGAAAGGAGAAGATTAAAATCCTTGTTACCATTCAAAGTTAGCCATTTTTTACGAGCATCTCCTGTGGTTGATGGATCTGGTTGAGGTACTTTTTGTGCATAGCTTACTTGAAGCAACAATGAAAGGAAAATCAAACACCTGATCATTTTCTTCTTATCCTGTTCACACCCAGTTAAAAATGCATTACAAAATCAAAATACATAAATCCATACATATCACTCACCACACCTACGTATACATATATGCATACACCCACATATACATGCTGCCAAGATGCGTTTGAGCCTTTTAACTAAATCTTATGCCGTATCAGAATACACATACAAAACAACTTATACATTTTTAAGAACAGAAGAAGATGAAATATAGAAAAGTAAGAAGCTTTCTGCCGTATCCAATCGATACAAACAAATTTAAAAACAAAAATTACCCCGAGATGCGATTAGATTATTAGAAGAAAATGAACATCTCCCTTCGAGTTTCACCTAAAGAAGAAACTTTTCTGAGGAAATGTAATTTGATGAACCGAAGAGAGATAGAAGAAACAATAATGACCGGGGGAATTGTTAATTAATCGGAAACCTAAAACAAGAATTTTCCTTTTTTATTTCCTCCTTCATAAATCCTACCCGTTTATTACACTTGAAGTGTGGTTAAAAAATTCACCACCTTTAATTTTTTTTTTTTTTAAGAAACTATGATTAATAATAATAGATTCAGAAAAGGTTTCCTATTTTTGATCCTTGTTTTTAGACCAGAGTTTTTTGTTTCCTGTTCTGTCTCTCGCGGCAAAAGAGGGAACAGCTCGAAGTCTTAACGAATTAACCGTTTTTAAGAAACTCCAAATTTCTTAATTACGAAGTGCCTTTATTTATTGCGGCTTATAAATAAATAAATAAAAATAAGTTACTTAAATATTTCATTGTATTTAATTTATAGTGAAAAGGGTTGGAATTAAAATTAATTAATTAATTAATTAAATTATTTAATTTACTGTTGATTTTCATACCTTGTTTATTGTGATTTATTTATAAAATTTGAATTAATTTAAAATATAAATTTTTAATACTACTTAAAATGATATTTGGGTTTAGTTTTTAAATAAACTTGCATTAATTTTTTCATTTTTTTTTGAATATATTGTAATATATATTTTATTTTTGTATTAGATAAAAATTAAAATTTAAGTCTCTAATTATCCTCTCAAGAAATTATCCTCCCATCAAATTAGAATCACACTTTTTTTTTTCTATTTTTAATTTTTAAATTTTTTTTAAAAAAAAAATTTCTAACACCATGTATGAAATTGAAGCCTCCACAATGTCTAGAAAGTTAAGAAAGTTGGTGATCTTATGACAAAGAAATGAAGACTTAATCTTTGACGAACAACAATTGTAACAATAACGATTTTAAAATAGTTTTTTTTTTTTATCGAATAAGTTGCGACCCATATAAAAGACGTAATGATCTGCACGTATTATCTCAAAAAAAAGGTATGTGAAATATAAGATACAAACTACCTGCATCCGGAAAAAAAATAGTCTATGAAACTTTGACGTTTTATGAGATTTACTTTGAACTTTTCTTGTACAAGTTATGTGGAAGGCAAAGAATGCTTTATTTCGGATAGATACGAATTTCATTGAAATTCCATTTTCGAACATTATAATTCTAATTTTGTGTCATATTTAAAACTAATTCTACATTTTTGTGGATATTAGTCTTAAATACTTTAGATTGAATTGATTTGATTAAGTAAAGTCACAAGTTTTCTTTAATGAGTTTAATTTTTCCAACTTATAAATTACGAGTTTATTTAATATATATATATATATATATATACACCATCTTAATATTTTATGAATATTTTAGCATCATTATTTTTTAATAATTACATTTTTTTAAATCATAAAAATTGAGCTCAAGAGTCTACCATACCATTTAGCATAATTCAATTATTCATCTAATCATATATTTAATTTATTGATTATTTTAAATTTAAGTCGAATTAAGTACATATCCAAAATCAAAATAAGTATAATCAAAATTAATACAAACAAAATCCCATTTAGTGTAAATAAATATGATGTAAAATGAGATTTAAATATTTAATATATTAATAGAACTGTAATTATTAAATTAAATTAAATTTTATTTTAATTAAAAATATTATATTATTTGTAAATATTAATTATTAAATAATTAAATTTAAATTTAAATTTATATATTATTGAATTAATTAATTTAGATATTTTATTATTTATTTATAATTATATATTTTTTATTTGGTAACAGAGAAATTAAATAAATATTTAATTAAAAAATAAAGGTGGAGTTCTATTATATTTTTATCTAAATATTTATTTTAATTTTATTAATACTTCATAATTTCATAAAATTAACATTCACGAAATAGTCGTTTAATTTGTGTATCACATTTATAGTGCAATAAAAAAAATGGAATGAAATTAAGGGACACGTGTAAGCTTTAAAGTCGTTAAATCGAACGGCTCAAAATGGTAGACACTTTAGGATCCACAAAACCAACGGCTGTCCCTTTATGATGATCGCAACCGGGGAATTCCATGTCGGTCAACCAATAAAATATCGCCAGCTCATTACCACCAATTCTTTCCCGTGGACGTTACCGTAGATAATTAAATCCCTCTCCACAGGTAACAAAGGCCTGCTCTTTTCGCTTGCTTCTCACGAATCCGGCACTACAATTTTTTATGCTTTCTCAGAGGGAAAAGGAGTCGAGTACTGCAGATGAACAATTTTTCTCCGAGAGAAACAAAGTTTTTACTGTAATCAGAATTTTTTAGAGAGAGGGAGGGATGAAGATCACGGCGTTGCTGGTGTTGAGGTGCAAGCCGGATGGATCGGATCCGATAATTCTCGCTAACGCATCGGATGTCTCGCATTTCGGGTACTTCCAGCGCTCCAGCGTCAAAGAGTTCGTCGTCTTCGTTGGTCGGACCGTCGCCAAACGGACCCCGCCCAGCCAGCGCCAGTCCGTCCAACATGAAGGTCCGCCTTTCCCTTTCCTGCTCCAATCCGGTTTCTTTCATTTCAGGGTTTTATCTTTTTTTTTTTTAATAATCATACGCTAATTTGTATGGTGGTTACTTTTTCTGTTGTCATATCTTCAATTTAGGAATATTTATGGTTCGTATGTATGTTTATCTTTCTTTGATGGAATTTCTTCGAGTACTTGATTTATTTTTTTTCGGATTTGTGTTTTTATTGATGATATACATGTTAATTGCCATATATATATATATATATATATATATATATATATATATATATACACACATATTATGATTTTAGGATCTTCTGTTGGAATTATAATTACACGAATTGAGTCTTCGTTTTTTTTTTTGCTCGGGTTGTGTAGAGTACAAGGTGCATGCTTACAATAGCAATGGCCTCTGTGCCGTGGGATTTATGGATGATCACTATCCAGTTCGAAGCGCGTTTTCTGTTCTCAACCAGGTAATTGAAGACTCTGATGTTGACCTGTGGAAAGAGTGCGCATAGTGATTATCATTTGCAAACACTTAAATGGAATTTTGCGGGTGGCTCGTGACATGATTTTGTACATATTAGTTTTCTTTTGGAGACAGTTTAATACATATCAATTGAGTATGTGATGAGTGTCAAAAATAGAAAAGGTCTTTGTCACTCAAAAATTTCCCTGTGTTGTTGAAGCAGGTACTCATTGTTTATGTATTTTCGCTTTAGAATTGCTGAATCTTTCTTACACATGAATGGAATTTTATTTCTGAATAAATTAGAATTATATGTAAAAAGAAGGCGATGGCAAGCATCCTAAATGTGTTGTCTTTCTATCAGATGTATGTGATGTGTACCTTTGTTAAAATTGTACTAATAGAGCCTTCCTTAATGATGTACTGTAAATGAATAACGTTGGGTTAAAGATGTGGGGAACATTTTCCATGAGTAAGATGTTTTTTCTGTGTCATATAGGACAGGCAGCTAAAATATATCTCACCCTTTAAGGTCTCATCTCCAGCTGAAGTACTAGAGAGTGAATTTCTTGGCACTCAAATTTACACATTGAAATGAAGAGCTTATCTACTTTAGCTCATGATGTGTGGGGATGGCTTCCTTAATTCATTACCATGCTGGGATCTACATGTGCATCCTTGGGAAGTTGTCATATCTGCATGCTGCAATAATACAGGCTGGCCTAAGTGGGCTATCTCATGTTCAAATTCTTGCAATTATTTGGTAGTGTAATACATAAAATGGTTTGCTTAGATCTCCACAGATTTTAGGGGCTTTATCATTTCTCTTTTGTGTACTTTTCCAATCTTTCTTATATTTATATATGTTAGTTTCATGAATAAATTTTGAGATATAATGTTTGGTAGGTGCTAGATGAGTATCAGAAGAATTTTGGTGACTCATGGAAAGCAATTCAATCAGATAGCACTCAACCATGGCCTTACTTGAATGAATCTCTCGCCAAATTTCAGGTTTCTATATTCTCCCTGAATTTGTTTATTACTTCTGACCATAGTTTATTCACCTAAAAAAAAATGAATAATATTTGTTAATCACTTAGGCTGACCAAGCTTTTTCAATAATTAGCGCTAGCATTTGACCATAGTTTTTTCCGCTTTTAAAATATTCAGGACCCTGCAGAGGCTGACAAGCTACTGAAAATTCAGAGGGAATTGGATGAAACAAAAATTATTCTTGTAAGTAGTTTGCCTGCACAAACTATTTTTATCCTTTTCTAATACAGAATATTCTGTTTGGTTTTGTATAAATAGCTCACTTTATTGATTAATATCAGTTGTTCCCTTTCATTTTATACAAAAGAAAACTATCATTCCCCTTTGCATGTTTGTGCATGCACATGTGCTATGACTGATTTCCAAAACTGAATTGCATGATAATCATTCTGTCCTTTCCTTTTATCATGTTCTAACCAATCAAGGTAAAAACTGAAAGTTTTTGAAACGATGGAGGATAGTGAAAAAATGTTTAGAAAACAGAGCAAGATGAACGAGGGTAATTATTGCTTTTTAAAAAAAAAATAAAAGGTGATAATGTATATTAAGTAAATGGCACCAAGGGGGTGCCCCTATGTACAAAAGCAATTGCGTGTCAATGGGTATATCTACAATCACTCCAAAGTCTTCTAAAGTATGTTGGTTGTGACCCAAAATAATGAAATCACCTATCTTTGATATTTACTAATGTTTCTGTTTCTTCAATTCCATTGAAAGGCCTATTGTTCCTTTCCTTCCAAATAACTCAAAAGATTGATAAAGGGATAAGGCCGGCAACGTGGTTGTTAAAAGCAAAGCCCTCCTAAGCCAAGAGTTATTCACCGACCCAACCATTACCCAGTGGACGCCCAGTAGGCTGTAAACCAGAGACCAAAGTTTGGAGGTATAGACGCACCAAAGTAAGATATGGTTGCAATTTTCAGTGGTGAACTTACAAAGGAAACATCTGTTAACTAGAATGTTTGTTCTTCTTTTTTATCAAATTATCAATAGTCAAGATGCACTCTTTGGCCACTTCCCATGGAAAAAAGAAGTTCTCGGGGTGCTTGCATCTTCCAAATGATCTTATAGGGAAACATCATACCACCCTCCGCTTCATTATTAGCCAGATGACGGTAGAAGGAGCTGACAGAGAAATTGTCATTTTTCTGTAGATTCCAGCACAGCTTGTCGTTTCTATCATAAAGTTGGATGGTGGCCATCAATTGCAGGAAATCTCAATCTGAGCCAACTCCCGATCCTGTAAATTTCTGCTGATTGTAACTGAACAGACCCCATTGCCGGCGTCAATGAAGACTTCACTGACCATAAGATTCCTTTTTTTAAAAAAATAAACTGACCATAAGATTCCTGTTTTGTGCAATTGCAAAGATCATAGGGAAGCTGTCCATAAGACTTTTATCACCACACAAGATATCCTGCCAGAATTTGGTATTGTCTCCTCTTCCAACTTCCCAATGCATGCAAGCAAGCACATTTTTATACATACTCATTATGCAACTCCCGTCGGAGAAGAAGAGCCAGTCGCAGAAGAAGGGAGCCGACCGCCAAAAAAAGTAAAAAAAATTTCATTCACTCAAAATTCAATTTTGAACATCCCTGTTGCCAAAATAGAGTAAAAGGACCGGTAAATGAGCCGAAAACCGTGAGTAAAGTCCGGCGGCACCGTCACAGAAAAAATAAAAAATCGCTTATGATGAGACCCTTTCTGATTCCTATCTTGTACGATTTTTCTACCATTGTATTCATCATTCTGTTTCTCACAGGTTGAGCGAAGAAAAACGCCCAACCGCGAAGGTAAACTGGTGGAGCTATCGCACCAGAAAACTCCACCACCAGTTAAACTTCTATTTTTCGATTTTGTTCGGCCAATCGGGGCCCCTTAACGTGTTTTCTCGCAAGAATGAGTACAAAACCGGTCAAAATCATCCCGTGAGTTCTGTTTGCAATGTTGAGGCTGCCGTCTCTGTCCCTCCTCATCCATTTAGTCTCAATGATCCTCTTCCACAGACTGTTATCCTCTAACAAATATCTCCATATCCATTTATCATGGAGAGCTTTGTCATGTAGTAATTGTTCTAAGCCCCAGCCCACCCATCCTGATCGGTCGCTTAACTTCCTCCCAACTAACAAGATGATATCTCCTTCTGCTGTCTAAATCACCCAAAGAAATCTATTTTGAATAGATTCAAGCTTCTTGGCTACAGGAACAGGAATGGTGAAAACAAACAAGTAGTAAATGGGGAGGTTCTAAAGTGTAATTTTAATGAGGATCAATCTGCCCTCCCCTTGATAGAAAACTCTTCTTCCAGCTTGCAAGTCTTCTGCCAAACAGATTAATAACCGGTTCCCACCCTATCATACTGTAACCTGAATAAAGCATCTGGCAATTATAGAGCCGCAGAGGTGTTCATCCTGCTGAACTGTTGGGACTAAATCTTGTATGTAATGTGTATATCTAGAATTGGCTTCAGTGTTATTGTTTGTCTTTTATGCTTTAGAGTAGTGAGGTAAGTTGATTCTTTTAAGACAAGGATGCAAAGAACAAGTTTTCCCTTTCCAATTATCATGATGGAGATGGCTGAAATTGTCCTAAATGATGATGGCCTTCTATGACAGACCTCTTCAGTTTTAGTCTTACTTTAGTTATTATGTGAAGTGCCTATCTTTATAATGTTTTTTCCTTTCCTTGCCAGAGTTTATTGCTTGTAGCCTATGTTCTGAGGTTAATCTTTTCGAAGAGCAATGTCACAATATGTTTCTTATGTGTAGTTTTCTTGGTGCAGCATAAAACTATTGACAGTGTTCTTGCTCGAGGGGAGAAGCTGGATAGTTTAGTTGAGAAAAGTTCTGATCTGAGTGCAGCATCACAGGTAAATTAACAGTTCTAAACGTAACTTGTATGTGTTCAGATTAATGTTTTCAACCCTTTTGAATTGGATTTCACCAAAATCCCATTTTATCGTTCCAAATAGCAATCAAGGTCCATCACGTACCACATCTCAGAATTTTGAAATGTGAAGTCATGTACTTATCATTATTACTTGTTTATTGTCTACCTTATTGCTGTTACTTCACTTCCCTTTTACAGTATATAGAAACTTGGTAATCAGGGTTAGGAGATCCCATCTGTTGCTCTGTGAACATAATTGGATTCATATGTTCATTGGTTTTAGTTGTGGAATATCAAATCTGGTCATAAGCTTTTCTAATTGATTCTGTTACTACATACGGAATCTGGTAATAGAAGACATAAAATGACCAATAGATTTTCTGGTGTCTTTACTTGTGTTCCTGTTTCTGCCATAATAATTTCATGAAATTTTTAAGCTGTTCGAGGAGTTTCCTAAATATCCTTTTTATGCCTACTTTTATCTGAAAGTGCACCAGTTGTTGCATACCTGGTGCAGTGAGTAATAACCTCTTATTGGTGGTTGAAACAGATGTTCTACAAGCAGGCAAAGAAAACCAATCAGTGCTGTACTATACTGTAAGCTTTTGCCCCGCGATGTTGTACGATCGTTCTAGAGTGGAACCCTGCAGGCTTGGCTCGATTGACAAAATGGTGATGTATATGTTCATATCAAATACCAATTGTTTGATTGGAAATTTGTGTTTTGTTCCTTCTGGATATATTTAACACTGAATGTTCGACAAAAAGATTTTCCTATCACAATCACTTCTGTACCGAATGTTTAGAATTGGGACTCTTAGTTTTCATGTTTTCGGATTGTACAAGACCAGACCACTGTTGCAATTATTTAGTATATATATATATATATATTTATGTTTGTCTTTTAAAAAAAAAAAACATGTTTCCATGTTTGGAGTATGTTAGCTTTTGCAACATTTTTTCATTTTCAACATCATGGACAAGTTCTATCTCACCTCATCAGAATCAGATTTTGTGAGTCTGGTAAATTCAATTAATGGTTTCTTGAGGTTCTAGTAACCTAGTTTTCGTGTTTACTTTTTTGAAAACTACTCGGGTTTTTTTCGTGCTACCTTGACTAGTTGATTTACATATTAGAAAAAGAGAATATTACAGTTAGTTACATACAGGCCACAACTTGAATTATAATCCAACATTGCTGTAAATTATGGAACTTCATTATAACATTAAAGAATTGTTTATTAACTAGAATAATAATCTATGGTGTTCTCTGAGTCTCTTTTACACTGTTTTATGCGGGCTTCCAACCTATACATATAGCATTATTGTAAGCCAACTTTTTAAATGTCAATCTTCTGTATCTACGGGGTCCATTGGGAAAGCATTATCATGGAATCCCACTTAAACCCTGTGCACCCCATGAATGATTGGAATTCATACACCATACCTGAATTAGTATGTCGGTAACCTTTAATTAACTTTGTTAATTTACTTAATTACATAGTAATTAACTTAGATAAGATTTTAAAAAATAATCACAGTAGTTAAAAATCAATATTATTATATTCGTGAATACATATTTGATAAAAACCGAGTTAGGTTTCAATTCGAAGTATCGATTGAGTCTCTCCGTAATATCGAGAGAATGGAAGTAGTTTGTTATATGTTCGCTTGTTATTCTCAAAACATTATTTTATTTTAAATAAAGTAATAATATTAATACAACTTTTTTAACGTTTATATTAATATATAAATAATAAATAATAGATCAAATAATTTATTGTACTTAAATTTTTGAAAAAAAAAAAATTAACTCTACTATTATATAATACCATATGAGATTCTTCTTTAATTCTTGAAAGTTCCATTAATTTGTATACATACACATATATATACACACGTTTATTACTAGGTTGTAATTTGTCAAAAATTTGTTTAGTTTGCATCTTTTTTTTTTTTTAATTAGCCATTAAAAATTAATTTTCATATTCACTACCAATGATTTCTTCTTTTTCAAATTTAGTACTCTCAACTAGTTTTTTTTAATAAATTAAATATTAAATTATATTTTTAATTTTTTGTTTCATTTAAATATAATAAATTCGATAAAATTTATATTATAATTCTAATAATATATTAATTAATTAATTAAAAAATGACGAAGATAATTTTTTTTAAAAAAATTGCATATAAACTCGGAAAATTTTAATATTAATTCTAACAATTTTTTTTTTCCAAACATTTTTCTTTTACGTCTTATAAAATAATAAATTATATTAATTTAATTAATAGTTTCGAAATGAAGATAATAATAGATACTGAATTTATAAAATTTCAAATAAAAAAATTAAATTACAATTTATAAAATTTTTATAACTTTATTCTGATTTTTTATTTTTAATTTCAGTATGAATAGTTTATTTTTAATTAAATGAAAATTAAAAAAAAAAATCACATGAGGTTAATTACAATTATGAGTTACGTATCAGTAATTAAATTTACCGCAGTAAAATTTACCGCGGCACGGTTCCATAGATGGGCACACAGTCATCCAGAGAATCCAGAACAGACTTCCTTCATGTCATCTTTCTTTTTCTCTCCCCCCGCCCCACGGTCCAGACTCCAGAACAGAGCACGCCATGGCCTAAAAGCTTAACATAAGAAGCCAAAACGGCACATTACTAAACCTGCTTTACGGAGCAGAGACCCAGAAAAGTTATAGCATAAGCAACCTCTGTAACTAAACTAAACTCCTCTTTCTTCTTTCTTCCTCAACAGAGAAATGGCTGCCTGCAAATCATTTCTCCTTCTGCTATTCACCATTTTCATGGCGCTAAAACCAGCAAATTCATTACCGGCGGTTTTTCCCACACCAACACATTTCCAGTCTCTGTTCAAACAAGCTAAGAACCCCAAACCAAACATCCCATACAGCTCCCATTACTTTCCCCAAGTACTAGACCACTTCACTTTCCAACCCAAGAGCTCCAAAATCTTCTACCAGAAGTACCTAATCAACCGCCATTACTGGCACCAAGGAGCTCCTTTATTTGTCTATACTGGAAATGAAGGGGATATTGAGTGGTTTGCTGCTAACACTGGATTCTTACTTGACATTGCTCCCAAGTTCCAAGCTCTGGTAGTTTTCGTCGAGGTACTGGTTTTTTAGGAAGAACAAGTACTAGAAGTTCAAAACTTTCTGTGTGTTTGTTTCCTTGATTTGCTCAATCAGTTTGTGGGTGTCAGAGGAAACGCAAAATCATGTTTCTGGATGGTTAAAACATGATTTTTTGGTTTGATTTTGATGTGGATATTGATGGTTTTTGTTGTGAATTTCTCTCTTTTTTCTTTTCAGCATAGGTTTTATGGGGAGTCCATGCCGTTTGGAAATGAGTCTTACAAGTCAGCAGAGACATTAGGGTACTTGAATTCACAGCAAGCATTGGCTGATTTTGCAGTCTTGATTACCAGCTTGAAGCAGAATCTGTCCTCTGAAGCTTCTCCTGTTATGGTCTTTGGTGGTTCTTATGGAGGAAGTAAGTTATTTTTCCCCCTCCTTTTCTCAATTAAGAAGAACGTTTAACGATTGAACTTTATAATCTTTTATGAGTTAATCTATGCATGTGGTGTGGAACAGCCTGTAAAAGTACTACGTGTAGTAATTCAAGGAATATCAATATCTATTTGTAATGAAACAGCCATTAATGTTCTGTGGACTATATAAATTATCTGGATCAGGTGGTTGTTACAGTAGGTTTATCTATTAATGGCCAATCAAAAGATTATACCTTTTCATTGACGTGAAAGTATTTGCATACAGTGCTAGCAGCTTGGTTTAGACTGAAATACCCTCATATAGCCATGGGTGCTTTGGCATCTTCAGCTCCTATTCTCCAGTTTGATGACATTGTTCCATGGTCAAGTTTTTATGATGCAGTCTCTCAAGATTTCAAGGTCTTTCAATCTCCTGCTTTAGCCTAGTGTTGTGATTTCATCTCTGAATTGATCTTTGTTAGTTTATCTTCTATAATTAATATGAACAGGATGCAAGCTTGAATTGCTTTGAAGTGATAAAGGGGAGCTGGGAAGAGCTTGAAGCTCTCTCGGCTCAAAGAGAAGGCCTGGCTGAATTGAGCAGGACATTCAGAACTTGCAAGTAAAGTTTCGACCTTTTCCTTGTTTAGAAAAAAATTAACAGAAAGAGTGAAACTTTTTATATGATAGATTATTTTGTATATCAAATATGTGCTAGTGTAATTTCGTCTTTTGACTTCATGAATATTTACTGGTAGTTCAAGATTTTCTTTCAGTAACAATGATGAAAAGGAATATTACACAACACATACCTGTTATACAAAATAATTTCTCGTAAATAAGATTTTGGTTCTTGAAATAAATGGGATATTTCCCTCGAATTTCAGGGACCTTCATTCAATCTATTCAGCTAGGGATTGGTTATGGACAGCTTTTGTTAGTACTGCCATGGTTAATTATCCAACAGATGCCAATTTCATGATGCCATTACCTGCCTATCCTGTGCAACAGGTAGAAATTGCTTATATAAAATAAACATGTATAATTATGAGAGGACATACAATTTGACTCTTCCAAATTTTAACATACAAGAACTACTGGGTATATTAGCTGTCATTGAACTGTTTTTACCGAGTAGATGTGCAAAATCATCGATGGATTCCCAGCAGGAGCTACTAGGCTTAGCCGGGCCTTTGCAGCTGCAAGCTTATATTACAATTATTCACAAGCAAGAAAATGTTTCGACATAGAACATGCAGCTGATGTTCATGGACTTCATCTTTGGGACTGGCAGGTATAAAGTTCTTTGCCTTTGTATCATATAACCATCAATCTGGAGCTTTTGTGTTTATTGACTGACAAAAAAATCAACTTTACTTTCTGAGTCATTTGATAAGTTAAGAGATAATTGGATTATTTCTATTGCAATTTCGGCAGTGGGACTTTTCTAGTGAAACAATTAGAGCAATCCTGAGATTCCTAAAATTAAGAAGTCGAATATGTTTCTTCCTACTCCACATATTTTAACATGTATGTTAGAACAGTAAAATTATAATTTAATGACTGCATAGGTATGTACGGAGATGGTGATGCCCATGACTTGCTCTAATCAGAGTATGTTTCCTTCATCGGGTTTTGATTATCAAGAGTTTGCAGAACAGTGCATGAAGACACATGGAGTGAGACCTAGACCGCACTGGATAACAACTGAATTTGGTGGTAAAGTGAGTTTTTTTCCTTTGCAATCTTGAAATTAGCAACGATGGGTAAGATGGTATTAGAGCCTAAACTTCTATGACTCCAGAGAATCGAGCAGGTGTTAAAAAGATTTGGCAGTAACATCGTATTTTCCAATGGAATGCAAGATCCCTGGAGCAGAGGAGGGTCAGTTATTCTTGTTTCAGTAACTTTATTTTCATCTTTCTCGTTTATCCTCCGTTGGCATTAAAGTGCAGGCTAGTACTATTCATTTGAAATTTACTTGATTAACTTTTCATGCTGGATTAACTAAAGGTTTCCAGACGTGGTCTAGAAAATCCTATTTTCTTGACTTCAGGTAGCATCACTTTTAAGAATATATAGCAAGCAATAGATTAGGTCACTTTTCTGTTAGTTTAAACTTTTAAAATAGTCGACACAACTTTTATTTTCTACGTGATATCAAAACCAGATTATTATTTACTCGTGGATTCATTCCATTGTGCACTATTTGGCTTTCTTGTTACTTGGTTTTCTATCGTGCCTTTATCCACTATTTGACCTTCTCATTTCTTGGGTTTCGATTAAGTGCAAATACTAAGTTTAAAAATTTCGCTTGCACAGTGTGCTGAAAAATATATCTGCCAGCATCATTGCTCTTGTCACCGAGAAAGGTATATAAACTATCATTCAATATTTCTCTCATGTGCTATGAATTTGCTTGGCATGTTTATCAGTCTTATGAAGTTGAAACTTCTCATCAGGAGCTCACCATGTCGATTTTCGATCTGCTACGAAGGATGACCCAGCTTGGCTAAAGGAGCTGAGGAGGCGAGAAGTTGAGATTATTCAAAGATGGATAAATGAGTATTATGCAGATTATAGATAAGGGTAAAGAAGGTTTGAGTAATTATAATTCAAAACTGAATGTAGATGTTGAATTCCTGAAACAAAGGGGGAATCACAAATCACACATTTTACTTTGTACCCAGTTTAGGAATCTGCTAGATTTCATCTCCTTTCTCATTTTTTTAAACTTATGAAACAAAATCTAATTAGTAAATGTTTTGTGAGCTGAGCTACCCTCCATATCCTCGAGTATGATAGATATTTTTATCATTTTATACGAGGGCACGGATTTGAGTCGTGAACTGTATGTCTCATATATCTTTGTTAAAAGATCCTGTTGCATGTATTGTTATTAGAAAGTTGTGTTATTATATGTGTGTGCTGTGTGCTGTGTGCTGTTATGATTTTATCATTCTATTCTCTGTCTTTGTAGTTGTTAAAAACATAAATTTTTATTACATGGAAATTTAAATTCATGATTTTTTTTAGTAAAGAAAATAAGTTGAAAGACTAAGCAAATGGGGAACAAAAGTCCAAACTCTTGATGTCTATTGAGTTTCCTATTCTTCTTAAAGGAAAGGCTACAAAAATCCATTGAAGAAAGAAGATTTTCCTCTTCCTCAAAAAGGAAACTTTTCCCCTCCAAAGTTGGTAAAATATTTTCCTATTCTCTTTGTCTGGGTACCAAAAATAATTATTTATTATTAAATTATTGCATTTTACATTACATCATTTCTATAAACAAATACATAAGTTCTCATTTAAAAAAGTAAAAACTCAATTATAGATTAAAATGAAATAAAAAAAGAGACGGTTAGAAACAACCCATACCAACCACCGTCATGAGAAAAAAAAAAGTAAAAAAAAAACAAGCTTTTTTTTGGTTTCCTAATTGGGTTGTTTGGTTGGGTGGGGCACCATCGTCAAACCGTGTGTAGGTTACTGGGTACTGGATCTGGTTAATGGTGGTGGTCAGAAACAGGCTTTTGACTCTGTGGAGGTACTAAAGTTAAAATTTTTCTTGACAAGAAGAAACCACGTACATACCCGCACTGCTTCCATTATAGCTCATAAATATACCTCTCTTTTCAATTCATCGCCATCTCCATTAGATCGCTCTGTCATCAGCCCACGTAATTTTTTTTTACAGTGCCAGAGGAAACCAGAGCGAGTTCTCTGCCTGCTTGCTTTTTTTTTTTTTTCTGCTTAGAGGGAGACCCAGATTACAGAAATGTCACGGCGATCTGGGGCTTGCTTGCGGTGTTGTCTCGTCATTTTTGCCGTAGTTTCAGCTCTAGCTGTTTGCGGGCCTGCTCTCTATTGGAGGTTCAAGAAGGGGATAAGCTTAGGTGATAATAAATCATCTTGTCCTCCTTGCATCTGTGATTGCCCTCCTCCCGTCTCTCTCCTCAAGATTGCTCCCGGTATCTCTCTCTCTTTCTCTCTCTCTCTCTCTCCTTCTTTCAACTTCTGGGTACTCTTGTTCTGATTTACATGTTTTCAGTATCTGGGTTGTTGATGAGCTTTTCGTTAATGTCGGTTGAATGTTTACCCATTTTGTTTTATTTGAGGGTCTGATCTATTGGTTTTGTTAATTTGAGATGTCTTTGTTGGGATTTTATGAGTGGCTATTGATGTCGAGTTAAGTCGTAATTTTGTTTGATTATATGTTGATTAGAGTGAAAATTAAAGGCACCCAGTCTGATGATTTGGGTTTCTACCGACACAGTGGATGTTATAAAGGAAAACCTAGTTCGGTTCAGATGTGTTCTTGTTGTTTCTTAATCGTGTTAGTGTATTTTAGGAACTTAGCAGTTCTCAATTTATGATTTTTTTCCTTTTTGTTATCTGTTTTTCTTGTTAAGATTTTATTTTGAACAGTATGAGATGGGGCAAGAGGGGCTAATTGGGTCTTCCATGTATTATCTATTTGATCTTGCAGTGAAGTTACAGATTTCATTGTTTTCGATGTTGATCTGATGACACTGTCTTTTAGAGTTCTCTTTCTCTTCCTTTGATTTTGGGATACTCATAATGAATTAGAATTTTCTCTCTACTTTTGGTTGGTTTTGA